ATTGATTTATTTTTTTAAGTATTTTTCTTTAATGAATTGAGCGTATGTGTGTCTATTAGATCAGGGGTGGGCAACCAAATATCCCTTTCCCATTGGCTGAAAAACCTTTGTAAACCTGGAAACAATTGTCTTTTGCACCAAAATATTTTTCCAAAAAATCAAAAATTGCCAGAGTAGTCTTAGGAGGAGGTTTTTCGACTCACAAAACAAAAAGCACTCGTGGAGAATTTTCTTGTTTCTAAAAAGGGGGGGTTATCTTTACTTATAAAAAAATAACAGAAATATTCTCAGAGTTGACTTACAAAAAATCCAAATATAAAAGTTAAGATGTGTGTAAAAACTGTTGCACTGCTCACTCCTTCAAACAAACAATCAGATCCGCCTCATCAGCTGCTTCTACTTGTTAATCTCAGCAGGAGGCGGACTGACAAGGAGGAGGGTCAAAGCAAAACCAATACATAAACAAATAAACAATAGCTCTACCATCCACACAACCTTAGATCTTTAACATTAATAATTTTGCAAAAAATTAATTAATCTAATTCTTAATAGGCTCCAACAGTGGCAGCATGAACAGCTCACTGACTCGTTCCTACCCGGGTGAAACGACTCAGCCAGTGACCCACGTTTACTCGTCCAGGCTCTGATCGGCATGCTGTGGGAGCACCAGAGCCGGGTCGACTCTCTACATTACATGATACCATTAAACGCAACGTACGGACGTCAAAACAACGCGCAAATTGCTTCTGATTTAACAAACAGAATCAACTCTGTTTCCATTTGATAAACATGCAGCAGCTCTGGTGAGAGGAATTCAGACAGATAATAGAGAGAAACAATAAAGCACACTGACTACGCCCTGGCTTCCTTCTATGTTTCTCTCCACTATTTAGTTCCCGCTCTATACTGTACAGTGATGGAGGGATTGAACATTTGAATTTGCTTATTTTCAACTCTATGTCATTCACCACAGTCAGCTCCACTCTGCAGTTCCAGTGGTCTTGTATCCTTGTGGGACAATCCTTTTTGGGTTTTTTGGCCTTCCTTTCTTGAAGTCTTTCATTGTTTCATCTGCATTTTTTCTCTCTCTGTATTTGTTCTGTCAGCTGTTACTGGCAGAGATGAGATGATCATGTCCACAAATGCCTGTATTTCTGCACAGAGTGTAGACAAAACAAAAGTTCAATGCATACAGCTTTTCAGCAGGGAATGAGCATCTTAGCAGTGAAATCAACATTTCCATTTATAAAGTGCAGCAGTGATCAAAAAGCTGTTTCAGAACCTACTGGTCCTGCATTGAATGCTGTGAAGCCTCTTCCCAGAGGACAGCAGGGAGAACTGTCCATGGTGGGGGGGTGAGGGGTCATTGATGATGTCACAGGCTCGGGACATGCAGCGCTGGGATGAAATGTCTTTAATGGAGGGAAGAGGAGCCCCCATGATCCTCTCTGCTGTTCTCACCACTCTTTATTGTAGCCACAGCTGTTGCATCATTGCTCCAGCTGCTGTTCCGAAACCACAGGTGCTGCATCGTAGTGACAGAACCTGCATCGTAGTGACAGAACCTGCATCGTAGT